GAGTCATGACCACAGACACATCTCCCATCTGGTTTTTGGTTTGTTCGTTTGAGTAAAGAGAAGCACATCGACACAATAACGGTCATTTAGTGCTGGGAAAAAGTAAGACAGACAGACAGACAGAAACAACACAGGGAATGTAGAGAAGTAGGACCTACCAGTGGCACCCTCCAACCACCCACACAGACAGAAACAACAGAGGGAAAAGTTAAGAAGTAGGACCTACCAGTGACATCCTCCAACCACCCACACAGACAGACAGAAACAACAGAGGGAAAGTAAAGAAGTAGGAGCTACCAGTGGCGCCCTCCAACCACCCGCAATGATGTTTGGGAAAGGAATGATGTTCAAACAATTAAAACAAAAAACCCCCCCCAAAAAACAACAAGAAAACCAGCAGAACCGGACGGTCAAAAGCGGGTCATGAGCTGACCTCATTGTGTCTGCGGACACTTTTGGCTTTGCCTTGCTCCCTGGTCAGGGTCTTGTTGGCACTGTCCAGCTGCGTGGTCACTTCGCTGAGCTGACATCTCAGGCGGTCCACTTCCTCCGACAGCTGGACACCTCTCTTCACCTCCTTGGACTTCTGGGCCAGCTCTTTCTCCAGTCTTGTGTGCTCCGTCTCTGGGACATGACAGAAAGTACCATACGATGGTAGACTTAACAGAGCAATAGAGTCCCATCTCTGGGACATGACAGAAAGTACGATACGATGGTAGTTGTTGTTGTTGTTTTCAAATCCCTTTAGCTGCGAGCATTTCACTCTTGGCAGCGCAATGCCTCCCTCAAGTAACCACATGTCCATCCATACAATGGTTATCTTAACAGAGTAATAGAGTCCCATCTCTGGGACATGACAGAAAGTACCATACGATGGTAAACTAACAAAGTAATAGAATCCCATCTCTGGGACATGACAGAAAGTACCATACGATAGTTAACTTAACAGAGTAATAGAGTCCCATCTCTGGGACATAAATCGGCACAGTACGAGCATGACATTGATAAATCAGCCCATCTACAATTCTACTGTGCATAAGAACATGTTCATATCACCCCTTTGGTTCCCATTTCTGGGACATACAGAAAGTTCTAAACAATGATAAGACTTTCAACCTCTCCTCTAGTGTCTGTCTGTCTGTCTGTCTGTCTGTCTGTCAGTCAGTCTGTCTAACTCACCGATGTCTTCCAAGACTTTCTCCCTCTCCTGCAGCTGTGTCTTCACACTGTGTAAATCCTTCTCCTGTTTCTCCAGTGTGTGCTGCAGGAGTTGTTTCTGACGCTGCTCCTCCCACATCTCCTCCTGCAGTCTCTTCTCCTGCTCCAACATCTTGCTCTGACGGAAACACGCAGACGTTCCAGATTTTTGTTTTCGTAATAAGAGTTTTACTGCACTTGAAACATAATAATAAGGTCATATAAGTGCCGAAGATTTGAGGTGTTACAAGAGAGTAACAAACACAAAACAGAAGGAGGGAGATAATGACAATAAGATGGGGGTTTTTTAGTTTAGTGTCAGTAAGGTTTTACGGCGCTCGCAACTGCATAAGGTCATATGAGCGTCAAGGGGTGGATGTCTACAGAGTCCAAAAGGGGAATCAGGCTTACTCTGCTCACCT